AAGCCGTGATTTGTCATAATTGTGATGATTATGGCGTACAGTTCATGAAAACTTCAAATCCACCATCTCAGAAAATTAGATTACATGCAATCAATAAAACAAGGATTGTACATAGAACAATATCGGACATCTGAAAAGTATAAGCATGCATATGTACTCAGTATTCAGCATCCCCATAAAGCTAATCTGCAAAAGGAAGCATGAAGTGCTCTAAAATCTCCTGGTAGACGGCTGCGTTGACCCTGGTCTCAATGAAGCACAGTGGTCCAAAGTCCTGTTGCTCAGTGGTCCAAAGTCCTCTTTTCTGATGAGAGCAACTTTTGCCAAAAGCACCAAAAACTGGTTCAATGACCGTGGGATTACTGTGCTTGATTTGCCTCTCCATTCTTCCTCCATACTCTGGGTCCTGGTTTCCAAATGAGATGAGATGAGACTGTGATATATTCTCAATCCCAGCCTGTCTGGTTTCTATAAATTGTTAAAATAGTTGTAGTTTAAACCACATTTGTTTTCACAATTTTTATAATGTTTTTGAGAGTACTTTGGGTGGGTGTTACCATTCTGGGTTATTGCTTTTTTTTGCCAAAATGACATAAAACTGGTTCATGGAAACACCAAAATGATAATACAATTAGCAATATAAGCATTGAAATTTTGAAAACTGGTAACAGAGAACAGAACTTTAAAAATGACTGTGTATCTAGATAAGATATGCTAAGTGGAACTGTGATATCACATAAGCAATATGGAAACCATAAATAGGAAATAAACAGATGAATATTTAAAAATAGGATTTCATTGGCTGGATATGCACTTCCCCTTAGGGCATGTAACTTGTCAAATGATGTCCTAAAACTGAAAACTGTTATTATATGACATAAGGTACATAAAATAATTCAAATGATCATATTTAATTTGGAATTGCATTTTAGACTAAAAAATTCAATATAATTTTTTTTAACATGAAGAGATTGAGAAGATACACACAAAGAAATTATAATAATCATTGTATTTGCTGAAAAACCTGAATTTCCATTATCTTGACGGGGAAAATGTATAGAGCAGTGGTGGCAAATCTTTTCGGCATTGAGTGCCAAAAAGGGAGCATGCATGCTCTTCGGGTCCACAAACCTGGAAGAGGAGCTGCCCAGGGGGCATGCGCATGCCAGAAAATAAACTTCTAGTTTCCGGTATGTGCATGCACACCATCCAGCTAGTCTTCCAGTTACTGGTATACATGCATGCCTGACGATCACCTGGCAAGCGCACCTGCTCACACCGGAAAATGGAAGATGAGCTCTTCCAGTTTCTGGCACTGCGACACGCACAAAGACCAACTGATCATTGCATGTGCATGCGCACCAGAAACCCGGAAGAGGAATGGGCAACGCTATACGTGCCAGGTGATATGGCTCCACATGCCACTTTAGACACGTGTGTCATAGGTTCGCCATCACAGGTATAGAGAGTACTTTAATAGGATATTCCCTATCGTTTTCAATATTTATTTACTGGCCCATGAACTGCCATTCATCTATCAGAAAGAACTAATCATTTACCATTTGATTCATTATTAACAGTCACCAATGTTTAATAAATTAGCAGTATTTAGCTTTCAAGGGCTCAAGAAATTTTGAATTATAAAATACCAGAATAGGAAAGGGCATAAAGAAGCCTTCTATAACTTACATTTATTATTTTACATCCCATCTTGTGGAATGTAGAGGGCATAAATATGGAGCTGAATTGGTTCTAAACTGAAAATAGTTCATTTTCTAGAAATATTGTAAGCTCATCCCATTAGTCTCAATAAATCTTGCTTAAAAAACTCTATTGGAAATGTACTTGATGAACAATCACTTTTGATTCTCAGACAGCTGCCAAAAAGACTGACAGGCCTATTAACTAAGGCGCAGCAGAGTGGAAATGAGAGTAGAAGTGTGTATATAGCTTTATTTTCTCTTCCAAAGTATAAGGGTTGACGTTGGCAAAACGAGAGTCAGTCATTTTCTAGGCTAGAGAATCATTATATAAACATTTCTCAGTTACCCAGGGCCAATAAATCAAGTATTCATTACCTTAGAAAGAACATAGGGAAAAGCCTAGAATTTGCAGCAAAATTATAGACAAAGGTTCTGACTTAATTGTACTGCAATAATCAATCAACTGTTGTGTTTAAAACTTCATTTTTGTTTCATTAATTAATTAATTAATTAATTAATTAATTCATTCATTCATTCATTCATTCATTCATTCATTCATTCATTCATGTTTGTTCATCTAGCCAAGTCATCTCTGAGAATCTTTTGCCAAATCAAGAGATGAGTAAAGAGTTAAGTATTTGGAGAGCTGTGATTTGCTGTTGCACTCTGCTGTCAAGCCTGAAATAGAGGTGTTTTTAGAGCATGAAAATGGTAAGAGACCCACTTTTACCAGCAAGTATGTCTGGATTTCAGAGAAGAACCTTTGCAATTTATTCTCCTCGCACAGAGTGATTACAAAGAGAAATTACGAAGAGAAAAATAATTTATTTAACTTCCAAATTTTTACAAATAAACTCATCTATCTAAATTGAAACAAGTATAAAATACTGCTAAGAGAAGAACTATGGAGAACTTAGAAGGGTCATGATTTTGTCATAAAACTAATTGAATGAACAGATAAATCAAACTTGATATAGTCACTTTTTAAAATATTTACAGAGTTGTCTTTAGCTTTGTGAATTATTTGATGACAGATAATAAAACTATGGTATTAACAGAAGATTTAGAGATAAATACTAAATAAAAGTCAATATGTTTGAAAGTATAAATGAACAAAAACAAGTTTTTTAATGAGTCAGTATATCACTTCTAATGACAAATAACCCCATACAAATGGAATGAACAGATAGCATAGTACTTACCAATAGAGACATGTCGCGAGGTTCCAAATATAACATATACTAAAGAGCAGCAAAATGCAGAATAAAAATTATTTATAACTGGAATTGGTAATCCGGTTAATACTATTCCTGATAATCCTATAAGGAATGCATATTTTTAAAATATACTCTCAAAACTGATACAAAGCAAACAGTTCATTGCCCATTTGTAGTGAAGGAAAAGCCAACCTGCCCTATCTTATTATAACTTCTTATTCTAATAAATAATCTGTTATTGATCTGACCTTGCTGTAAAAATCTATAACTCTGAGAAAGACAGAAGGACGGGAGGAAACAGAAGAGGACAACCTGTGACAATGACTGCATTACTGGAACACCTGAAAGACCAGGCTGAGGACAAATTATGGTCATTAAGAATCCACTCCAACTTGATGGCTCATGATGAGTCAATCAATCTTCATATGGCACCATTTTCTGGGAAAAACAAAAAGCATCTATCGCTGCTATGATGTATCTAAGTAAAAAGCCTACTTTTTTCCTCTTCTCAATATCTCTGAGTGTTGCCTATATCTTTCCTTCTAACTATCTTGTGAATGACACATAAAGGGGAATCTAAGCAACCCAATTATTGTATTGTATTTTATTTATTTATTTAGTTTGTCAAACATGTACGAGATAACAGGTATAATTATAAACATGGACATGAACACAGGAAATGGGTATGAATAAATGGGGACAGTAGAACAGGGACGGTAGGCACACTGGTGCGCTTATGCATGCCCCCTTACAGACCTCTTAGGAATGGGGTGAGGTACATGGTTGACAGTTTAAAGTTAAATTCTTCCAGCGGTGGGCAAGGGGCAAAACTGTGGCAGATGATTGATGAATAGCAGAGGTGGGGCTGGATTGGAGCCAGTTTTTAATCAACCTTTTCTTGATTATTTGCAAGCCTGGAATAGCTCAGAATGATTGGCTAGTTGAAGGAGCACTTTGGACACAGATAAGATTTAGATTCAGATATTCACTTAATCATGAAAATCCATTAGTGGTCTTGGATATATCAATGTCTAGGACTCTAGGAGAATAAAATAGGCAAACACTTGACTGGAAAAAAGGTAGAATATAAACATGTTAAATGTAACATGTAGTATGTTAGTGCTATCACTACTACTGCTACTATTACTACTACTAGACAAATGTATGAAGTATGGTCCTGAAATCACATTTTATATGTAAACAGTTGGAGATAAAAGGGACAAGGCAATGGTGGTTCCATGCCTACTTCTGACTCAAGTTAATTGGAAGGCAGCAATTTTTATTTCCATTAGAACTAGAATTAAGAACCAATCATATTTCTGGTGACTTTGCCAGAAACATTGATGATTGTAAGATGCAAAGTACAGTTATTGGGTCCAAACTATATTCTTTCAGGCTGCTATATCTGGAATAGAGCAGACAAAGAAGAATTATTTTCTCTGTGGTACAGATTCTAGTGCATCACAGGTTACATACAGATGTTCTTTAATAATGCATGAACAAATATTGAAGCATGTAGAGAGAGTCCACTTTTATGGGCAATTTATAAAGAACATTAATTTTCAAATCAGAAATGAGTTTGTTTATGTTGCTACTTCAATAGGGGGTCATGTGCTTTCCTTTTGCGACCCTTTGACAAGCAAAGTCAATGGGGAAGCCAGTTTCATTTTAACAACCATGTTACTAATTAACAACTGCAGCGAATCATTTAATAACTGTTTTTAGAAAGTTTGTAAAATGGGACAAGATTCATTTAACAACTGTCTCGCTTAGCAACAGAAATGTTGGGCTTGGTGGTGGTCATAAGTCGAGGATTATCTGTACCAGAGGCTGTGTTTGTTATCTGAGTCCAAACCCCATATGTTTCTATTCACCATAGAGTAGCAAAGAGAGCTTCAGCCTAGGATCGTGATGGCAAACTTATGGCACCTGTGCCAGAGGTGGCACACAGAGCCCTCTCTCTGGGCATGCACGCCATCAGCAGCTGCTCTTCTGGGGTCCGGTGCAGCCATGCCAGATGGTCGTTGGGCGCATAGGAGTGCCAGAAACTGGACAGAGCTGCCCAGTGTGCCGACCAGCTGGTCTTTGCGTGTGCATGCGCTCCTGAAACCAGAAGACCAGCTGGGGGCGCACGCATACATATCGGGCAGCTGCTCTTCCGGTTTTTAGTGCTCCCGCATACATTTTGGTTTCAGCACTCAGTGCTGAAAAGGTTCGCCAACGCTGGCCTAGGATATACTGCCATATGTGGAAAAGACTGGAAAATTATCCGCCTTGAAAGCTTTTAAATAGAAAATGAGAAATGGACTAACTTACCTTGGAAAACCTGCACCATCCCTACATTTATGCCAGCATGTAAGTCTCCTAGAATCCATTCAGTAATGCGATAAGTATAAAGCCAGTTTAAAATAGGAAACATCTTGAGTATGAATTTCCTGAACCGCGCACATGAGAATCTGAAATAAGATTGTATAGAAAGCCAATCTTTTATCTTGATAAAAGAGGCTCAGTTGTTTCTATGATACATACTAAGGTAATCTTGAAACCAACAAAATACTCTGCCAATCATCAGCCCTGTATGTTTTTGTTAAATAATAGACCAAATGTAAAATTTGGTTTAAAATCTTAGCCTGGCACTTTGAATCCTCTCCACGGGCAGAGCTGAGTACAGGTAGTCTTCAAGTTCATTTAGTGACCATTCAAAGTTACAACAGCACTAAAAAGTGATTTATGACCATTTTTCACACTTACAACTATTGTAGCATCCCCATGGCTATGTGATCAAAATTCAGATGCTTAGTACCTGGTTCCTATTTATGACAGTTGCAACCTTCTGACAAGCAAACTCAATGTGGGAGCCAAGTTCACTTAACCACTGTGTTACTAACTTAACCACTGAAGTGATTCACTTATCAACTGTAGCAAGAAGAGTCATAAAATGGGGCAAAACTTACTTAACAAACGTTTCACTTGACAACAGTAATTTTGGGCTCAATTGTGATTGTAATTCAAGGACTACCTGTACACATTGGGTATTTACATTGATCAAGATCATTGCAGACACAGGCCAATTACTCAGACTAATCCAATTACTCAGAGATTAAAATGCAACTTTGCAATTGGGCAGGACAGCCCAAGGAACAGCTATACCTGTCCTACAGGTGCCACTGTAGCTGGGGCAAGATTGGAGGTTGCACTTCCCCATATACTCCCTGCCACTGCTGCACCTCCTCTTTGCTACTAGTGGTAGCTCCCCAGTAGTATTGTAGCAGGGGTGGGTTTCTCGCCCTGTTCCAAACGGTTCGGTTGGAACGGGGCCGGCGGCGTCCTCGTGCACGTGCGCGGTGCACGCATGCGTACTAGCGTCTGTGCGATGCTCCAGCTGCTCCTGGAGGATCGCGCAGGTGCTGTATGCGTCCTGCGCATGCGTGGAAGCGCAGAACTCGTCAAAACCGGGTAAGGAGCGTGGGCAGGCGGGTGCGCCCTTCGCCGTTCCCGGAAATTACTTACTTCCGGGTTCGCCGACCAATCGGTTCACAGGGACCGCCGCAAACCGGTTGAAACCCACCCCTGGTGAGCACCAAGAAGACCGGAAGGAGCCTGG